GGCGCAGGCAGAGGCCGCTTCCCGGGTCCACATGGGCACAGACCGGAGTGGAGGCGAGGTCAAGTGTAAGACGGCCTCTGCTCTCCGACATCATCCCGAAGCTTCATGGCTAAAAGCGAACCCTCCTGGAGAAAATGTCCATGTCGTAGATATGTCTGCAACAAGGTAGGGGAGCAGATTAAAAAGTCAGGGAAAACATAGGTGCCGTTTCATGGCTGAAGATTATAGAGAAGAGTGTTCAAGAGGATGGGGAGGTTTGAAAAAGAAAGAAACTCCACGTATTCAAACTCAAATGATCTTGAGGAAGGAAAAGGGAAAGCTTGACTTGATTGAAACTGAGCATCTAATAAATTCTTGACCTGCCTTGACACCAACTCTGGAGATAAGGAAACTGGGTTGAGCTTGTTACAGACTATGTACCTGGTAGGTGGAGGCAGGGCTTAAACCTCAGTGTGGCTCCAAATTCCAGTGTCTCCTGTGTGCCACTCCCCGCCCCCCACCTCCCATTGGAAACATAGGGGACCTAATGAGCCGGAGGAGTGGAGGCAGATGGCTCTCTGCCCAGAACTTCAGGGTGAGACTAAGCCTTGTGTCCCGTGAGCTGGGCCAAAGGCGACTCCACATGACAATGGAGGTGCTCAGGTGGAAACCAGGTGTCCATTAAGGAGACGTTTCGCATCGGTCTGGTCTGGGAAATGGTGGCAAAAGGCTGGCACACAGGCATGGAGTGTTTCTGATTTTTTCCTATCATACAAATCTAAAAATTATTTCAGGGAAATGAGAAGGAAGCTGTGAATAATCAAACACCTAATCACATCCACTCCCAACTAACTTCGAAGTAGCTGTTTCTCAGCAGTTCTGGACCCCGGCTGTGCCTGAATCACCGGGAGAGTGTCTACAAAGCACAGATGTTGGGCTCGCTGCCCTAACTGAGCGGTTCTCATGCCTTCCTTGCCCAAAATAGACCTCCCTCACTTCACAACACTTCGCTTGCCCTGCTGTGCTGGGGACAGAGGCAGGTCCAAAAAAATATTTAAGTATATTTCATTGATTATGCTATTACAGTTTTCTCATTTTTCCCCTTTTATTCCCCTCCGCTCAGCCCCCCCCTTCCTACTAGTACTCCCTGGCCCCTTAGTTCATGTCCATGGGTCATACATATAAGTTCTTTGGCTTCTCCATTTCCTATACTATTCTTAACCTCCCCCTATTTTGTGCCTGCCATTTATGCTTCTTATTTCCTGTACATTTTCCCCCATTCTCCCCTCCCCCTCCCTGCTGATAACCCTCCATGTGATCTCCGTTTATGAGACTATGTTCCTGTTCTAGTTGTTTGCTTAGTTTGTTTTTGCTTTTAGGTTCAGTTGTTGATAGTTGTGAGTTTGTTGTCATTTTACTTTTTCTTAGATAAGACCCTTTAACATTTCATATAATAAGAGCTTGGTGATGATGAACTCCTTTAACTTTATTTTATCTGGGAAGCACTTTATCTCCTCTTCCATTCTAAATGATAGCTTTGCTGGAGAGAGTAATCTTGGATGGAGGTCCTTGCCTTTTATGACTTTGAATACTTCTTGCCAGCCCCTTCTTGCCTGCAAGTTTTCTTTTGAGAAATCAGCTGATAGTCTTACGGGAACTTCTTTTGTAGGTAACTGTCTCCTTTTCTCTTGCTGCTTTTAAGATTCTCTCCTTATCCTTAATCTTGGGGAATGTAATTATGATGTGCCTTGGTGTGTGCTTCCTTGGGTCCAACTTCTTTGGGACTCTCTGAGCTTTCTGGACTTCCTAGAAGTCTATTTCTTTTGCCAGATTGGGGAAGTTCTCCTTCATTATTTTTTCAAGTAAGTTTTCAATTTCTTGCTCTTCCTCTTCATCTTCTGGTACCCCTATGATTCAAATGTTGGAATGTTTAAAGTTGTTCCAGAAGTTCCTAAGCCTCTCCTCATTTTTTTGAATTTTTGTCTCTTCATTCTGTTCTGGTTGAATATTTATTTCTTCCTTCTGCTCCAATTTGTTGATTTGAGTCCCAGTTTCCTTCCTTTCCCTGTTGGTTCCCTGTATATTTTTCTTTATTTCATTTTGCAAAGACTTCACTTTTTCCTCTCTTTTGCAACCATAGTCAACCATTTCTGTGAACATCCTGATTACCAGTGTTTTGAACTCAGCATCTGATAGGTTAGCTATCTCTTCGCCACTTAGTTCTTTTTTTTTTGGAGTTTTGATCTGTTCTTTAATTTGGGCCATATTTCTTTGTATCGGTGTACCTGTTACGTTGTAAGGCCCAGAGCCTTAGGTATTCACCAGGGCGGGGCAACTCATGTCGATGTATTGTGGTGCAGTCTGGATGAATGTTTCTTTTTTAACTCCTTGGTTGTAGGACTTCCATACAGTTTGATTTTCTGGCAGTTCTTGTTGTTTTTTGTTTTTAAATTTGTTGTTTTTCTCCTTTTGGTTGTGCAAGGAGGCAGCGTGTGTACCTACACCTCCATCTTGGCCGGAAGTCCCTCGGGTCCAAAATTTTTATAGAGGAGCAGTTGAGGGCCATAATCTGGCAGCTGCAGCATGTGTGTGTGTCTGTGTGTGCACACATGCACACCCTCGCACACATCCATGAAGCTGTGTTTGTCTAGTATTTACATACGACCCACACGTTTGTTGTCAGAGGGGAAAGAGCAGCACTCAGGCCTGTGGGCTGGGAAACCAGAGGTTCTACCAGTAACCTTTTTACAAAACCAAAGCTTATTCCCACAGTAGAAACTTTCCAGCTTTTGCTGAAAACCTAAGCTGATCTTAAACCCAGTACAGCACACACTATTGAACTTCTTCGTGAGCGTCCTCTCCTCACACTGTGAGGTCTCTGTGAGCTGACCTGTGGGCTGTGTGTCCCTACACCAGGTGGCGTTATGAAATCTTTGCACCTGTTTTCAGGCTTTGTCTTCTCCCTCCCCCGTGAGTCTCATTTGTTCAGCCAGTGCCCATCAAGCACCTGCTACAGCTGTGCAGGTGGAGATGCAGCTGCCCAGCCGTGTGAGAAATTGTGTCCCAGGAGCACAAGAAAGCTCCCAGCAGGAGGTTCTCCCTCTGAATCAACAGCAGAGGCTTGGGCAGAGCAGTGCCAACTTGGTCTGCTCGGGTTCGGGCCTGGTTTTCGTTGCTGTGCTCCAGGCAGGGAGGCTGCCACTGGGCCGCGAGCTCAAAGGCCTTCAATCCAGCATTAACTCCCATCACTTTCATTTTATAAAGACCAAGAGGATCTAAGGGGCCAAAAGAGATGGCGCTTTCTAGTAGCCACAATTAAATGGCACCAGCTGAGCCACGGTAGAACTCTTCGGTGTCTTTGTAAAGTTTATTTCAGAATGCGAGGCATGTTCAAAGGAGCACCAAAGAGCTCCACCATGTTATGAGCTCCTTAGAAGCTTATCTTCACCAACTACAGAACCCCAGGAAGATGGTAAAATAATAAAAGTTCTGACCCAACATTTTTAAATTCCATTTTTAGTGAAGGGAAGAAAAATCTATTTTTCATAAGAAAAGAGTTTATTAAAGGGCACCAGAGAATAGTGTTTTTAGAAAGTATCCTGTCAATTTTTTTTTCTTTCACTTTGCTGATTTCGACAGGATGAGAGCCATTATTGTTGCAACAGCCTATTTTTGTAGAGATAAAGGCTGACCTGGCAAGCCGCGCCCCCGCGGGTGCCCCCCGCTGCTCCTCAGCCAAGTCAGGGGCTCCCTGGGAAAGCCGCTGCACAGCCCTCGGGGGCGCGGGCCCGAACGGCAGGCAAGCACACGCGACAGTGGGTGACGCTTAAGGAGCGCGGGGCGGCCGTGCCCAGCACCGCGCTAGGAGCATTCAATGAACCCCTGCTTGTCACTCAGGACAACCAGAGAGGGAAGTGCCTTCTTATGCTCAGTGAGGCTTCGCAAGGCCCATAGGCAGCGGGGTGACTTTTCGGGATTCTAAACTCTTAGATCAGGATTGGACAGCCCTCCAAGAGGGAGGCACATTGGCCGGTTTTGACGGGAAGGAGGCCACCGTCCTACTGTTCCCTGAAAGAGGCCGTTCTGGAAGGCTGTGTTGTTATCGCTGGCCTCTCTGCGTCCCCCTGGCGCTGGGCCCTGCCCGGTGCGGCTGGGGCGGGCGCCGCCGGCAGCGCGTTCCCGGGCCGCGGCCCCTCCTGGCGGCACCCGCTGTCACCAGCAGCCAGGCGCTCTGCCCACTGGCCTGCCAAAGCTGGAGGACATTCCCTTTGTGGGGGGAGGACGCTCCCATTTGCTGCAACGCCCCTTCCCCACGATGGACGCGCCTCGCTCCCTCTCATTTCTCTTCCCTCTGCTAATGCCCGCCCACACCAGGTCTTCCCTGACCTTCCTGAGAAAAGCACAGTGGTTGCTTGCCCTGTCTGCTCACCCCACTTTATCGTTTCCCTTAGCAACCGTCTGTCACTCCTGAAGTCACGTGCCAGCTTATTGTCTCTTCCTTGGGAGCAAACTCCAGCGGGTGGGGACAGGAGGGCCTGACAAGTCCTTTGGTGAAGGACTCTATAGGATGCGAATAAATTAACCGCGGAGAGAGATGCCTGGGACCCGGAGCCCAGGGACAGGCCCTTCCGCGCTAGGTGCAGTTTTTCAAAGGAGTGCGCGCTGTTTTCTAATTTATTAAACACTTTCAAATAGTTTACCCAACCATCTCAAGGCAGGTCACACCACCAAAACAGAGCAGATTACCCTTTCCTTCTACAAAGTTTGAGGCTTCACTAATTATCAGGCGCTACTTTAGTAAGGAAGAAACTATCTCTTTTCAAGGGCTTGTTTTTGTTTCCCCCTGAAATGCTACTGGGTTATGCAAAGAGTTTTATTTCTGAAACTCAGACATTACAGCTCTACCATGTGGAGGATGCACCATCCCCCCAGTGGGCCCAGCCGTGGCCTGCCTGGCTCCTGAAGGGGGGCGGCCACAGAGGCAGGGGGACGGAGCGGGTTCAAACCGGAGCCCACAGAAGAAAACCATCTTTACTGATGAGTCATTTATTTGGACAAGACACAAACGTCTCCACATTGTTTCCCTTTTATACAGAAAGTGGAATATTTCAAATATATTATTAGTTCTCCTCTTTTTCAATAGAATCCATTTCAATCTGGTCCCAGGAATGGCTTCTCATTTTAGGATTCACGTTTTAGTAACACGTAGGCACCCATCACAGCCAAAAGAGCGTACTGCAAGGAAAGCAGAACGGAAAATTACTGCAAGGTCTACAAATAAATTTGAGTTGTAAATGTGTTCAGGTGATGTCTGTTCAATACTGGACTGAGGACAGAACCAAAAGGTGACCTCCGCCCCCATGCCTTGTTCTCCCAATTAGCTGTTCAATGCACGTTGTGGTGAGAAACCCAAAAGCATTTTGAAGGACTAAGGATCAAACCCCCAAAACACAGCTAATGTGCCGCTCATTCCTGCGTAGGTTTCCTATTGTTTTACAAGTGGTTTTTTTAAAAAGATAGACACCATTTTCATTGACATTTGGAAACTGGCATCACTGGGTTTATTCTACTATGTTTTTTGTTTCTTTAAATATTTCTATAATAAAAAGCAACAAACATATAGGTGCCATTTCAGAACACACTATGACCATAAAAGATGAAAGCAGCTATTTTGAATACATAATTGAAATGATTGTGTTAATTTGTAGTTACCGCTCTGCAGAAAGAAGAACTAGCAAAACATTTTAAACTGCACCTTTATAGCTGCGTGTGTAAAAGCTCCAATATTTTTTTAAAAACCACAGATACCCATATGTTCCTACCTTGAATTTGGGGTAGTCATTCATTATTATGGTGACCATACCAACATATGGTAAAAACCTGTGCGATAAAAAGCCAGAAATGTCAAAATTGTTTGTAATATGATCACAACCTTTGAAAACACTATAAATCAGCCTTACGAAACAAATCTCCCTTGGGAATGCCTCCGACTGGGGCCAACGGGGCGACTGTACTCCTGTCTCGAAAGGCTTCCTTAGTACCGAGCATCAGCCCTAACAGCCGGGACAATTTTTTCAGCAGGCACGTGATTTCAGCTAGAGGCTACCTGTCTCCACTCGCTGCATTCCCAATAACAGTTTAAATGTGGCTGAGCCAACAACAGAATTAAAATGTTGTTGAGCCATTTGTTTGTACAAATGCAATGGGCAACTTTCATCAACCTAGCTTTTCACTTTTTAGCACCGATGCAAGATTCAGATAGCCTCTCTAAAAGCTGCTGTTAGAGAAAGCGTTTCAAATACACAACTAATTAGCTTCCTCTAGGATCCTCATCATTGTCATTTCGCAGCGCTTTCCAGATGTAACAAACAAGTGTATTGGGCAGTGAGTACAAATCAATGTGAATCTCATAACTTACACCCAAACACAATTATGATCCCAGAGAGAGAAGGTTTGAAGCTCTGGCAAGCCAGCAATTATGCTGACAAAATTAATGTCGCCCGTGGGAAACAAGGTAACACGCTCTTAGTTCCCTCCGGTCTCCTTTAAATCCGCGGCTTCAGCCTCCCACTTATACAAGCCTATACCAGACTTTCTAAAAATACAGGGCTGACCAACTGGAAGTCTCTCTCATCTCCCTGCAGGTATTCAAGAGGAAACGCAAGAGAGTAAAAATGGTTAAAAGGTGAGCAGAGAGAGAAGAGGGGTAGAAAGAGGCCTTCATCCTTAATTTGGTGAATAAAGCTGAATCTCAGAAAATGGTAACCAGTGCTCTCCAGCCTTACACAGCTGGAGGGAGCCGGTGGGATTTAGGTAAGATTTTTTTTAAAAGGCATTTCTCACGAGGGTTAAACATAGAAGGGTCACCAAAAGACAGGAAGAGTTGCCTTTTTTTGATTTCCTAATAAGAGGATATGCTGTCTGCTGTCAATCAGAGGCAGAACTCATTGCTGGAACAATGCAAAGATCAATATTAAAACATTTATCACAGAACTGTGTCTAATAGTGAAAAACAGGAAATCACCTAAATAGCTATCAAAAGAGGAAGTCCTGATTCTCAGGGGCAGGTCGCCATTTAAAAAGATATATAGATGTAGGTTTGACACTAAAAGCTATTTCCAACTTCCTGCTGAGTAAAAAAAGAACAATTTAAATTCATCTGTGTAAAATTATAGGCTACATATGCATACATATTTGCATAAGATACAGCAAATATCTAGAATATTCACTACAGTGTTAAACAGTGGTTATCTCTGAAAGGATTTTCTGTAATTCTTATTTAAGACCCACAAATAACTAATCTCTAGGGGAGGACTGATTTCAAAAATAGAACCAAGCCCATGACAGAGATAATGTACTTGCGCTCAGCTCCAGATTTGCGGTCCTTGGTCAGTCCTGAGTTTTGTTTAGTTGTCGCAGTACGACTAGCACGCCTCATGCCTCCCCGACACCCGACACACACTATGTAGAATGAATGGCTCTCCTGCCTTTTCCAGAATCTTCTCTATGACGGGACAGCGGACGCTCACCCTCTGGCCCTGCCCACCACGTCCTTCTTCTCCAGCCAGTTCTGGCCCTCCTTGTACAGGCCTCTGTCATCCACTTCGTTATTGTCTCCTTTAGTCAGAAATTTGATGTCTCCGTTATCTCTGGAAAGCAAAATAATGTCCTTTCAGAAATTATTTTCAGCACAGCCTCATGAGGAAAAAAATGAGCTTATCCACCGCTGGATAGCCCCTTGTGAGCATTTAGAAAAGCAGTCTAAGATCACCTGATCTTTCTTGGTCTAAGATGATTGTTTACAGATAACCACTCAACTAAAGCGCAAATCTAATGACAATTTTATAGAGTTAAATGCTTAAACATTCTAGTTACCCTGACAACCAAATGGCACAGCCAAGCACAAGGGCACCGCTAAGGCGGTGATTAGCTTCCAGCAACTCTTTCACTCTCTTAGTCCTCACGGACCAACTTGTTAACATGGGTTATACTCCTTTTCACTCCAGACATGAACTTGATCTCAGGTCACAAAGATGTGAGCACAAGGTAAGTCAAATGCAAGTGTTCCTTTACCTTTCCTCAAACTTACGTTTCCTTGCCAAATGCAAAATGTGCTAATGCATTATTTCCTTCACCACTGAGCAAAGTGGTGTGAGGTCCAGTTTGCAAAGAAAGAGGAACCACAAGCGGCATAAGACCGGTGTGTTAGACAGACACGTGGGATTCATTTTAAACACTCTACACTGGTGCTTCATAGCCTTGACACTAGAAGCACAGCATTACAGAGCTATAAAGAGCGTTTTCTTTCAATAGACAAATAAAAAAATGCACTATTCTAATCTGATAAAAGCTTAAAAGCCCACAAGGATTTGAAACCACACCAAAAGAAGCAAGCTGATTCGCAGCCGTGGCCTTAAAGGAAATCAAGAGGATAAAAATGCAGGCGGTCTCCCACAACTCACGCAAAGTACAGCAAGTCATCATTAGGTCCGCCATTCCCAACAGCTTCTCATCTTTAGAAATTATTTTTAAATCAGGTAAGTGTACTGACACATTGTGACTGAGCGTATTTCTTCATTAGTTAACAGGTAGTGATTAAGTAACATTAGTGTATTAACACAAACCGAAAGAGGATCATTCTAATGTTTAAAGTAGCATGGAGTGAGTATTTTTAAGTATCAACATCTTTGGGGAACCTGGAGGCAGTAAATGGAATAGGACTCTAAGTACCCAAAATGTACAGATGGTTACTGCACACCCTTATACGCCCACCCAAGATGAGTGATGTGCGGTTAAAAACACAAACATACAAACCTAAATTTAATTCCGTAACTCATGCAGGTAAAAATGCTCCACTAAGCCTGCGTAAGGGTAAATGAATAACCAAGTACATAAAATGTAACATTTTCACCAATCGCCATTGTAGTATCTCATAGGAACATTAGGTATTTGAGCCAGAAGTAACTTTCTGGTTCTCAAAGTGTGTCTTATTAAGTCCTCACTGGCATGTAAGTGAAGAGCAAGGCTATTTGCAGGGCCCGTCAGGGAGAGAGTTAATGCTGGGTATTTAAGGACCAAATCATGGGATGAGTTGGGGAAGGGGATTTTTATCCATCCATGGCTAACGTTCCTGTTGAGAATGTCACTTGGTCCAAAGTAACACATAAAACAAACGGTAACTTTCTGCATTTCAGAAAATAATTCTCATATCAAAATAATCCTCAATTGCAATGGGATTTGATTTTCCTTGGGACTCCTTCAAATAATATTATGCCATAATACATGCCACCTTACTATTTTCAAGTTCTTTGGTGAACATCAGTTCATTTAATTCTCACAATCACCCCGTGGGTTACTGTGGGGAAACTATTACACTCACATAGACTGAGATAAGCAGCAGGTCCAAAGTCACCCAACTAGTAACGGGCAGAACTAGGAACATGATTCAGTGCTTTTGCACTTTCTAATCAACCGGTAAAACAGTCTACCAAAAACTTACAAAACAACACCAAAAAGAAGTAAAGTCTCTTTACTTTTCATGAACTTTGATTACTCTGTGAACTATTGGAATGTCTCGTCCTTCCACCTTAAAAACCACGATTTCACCAGCTCTAATAGGGTCTTCCCGGAAGTTTGTTAGGAACAGAAGGTCGCCCCTGTGAAAGGCTGGCTCCATGCTGCCACTAGAAAGAAACAAAATCACATCCAAATTACCCCGAGGTCACGAGGGGAACATTTCAACTCATAACAAATACAATAATAAACATATGGATTAGAGTTGCAACGGTCATCAATAGTCCAGTAGGTCTCTGAGCTATGAAACAGGCCACAGTGTTTCCTGCTGACTGTACAAGGAGATAACACTGAGCGAGAACGGACATGACATCATCTTAGATAGAAGTCCGAGAAGGGCACCCGTGGGCCCTTCTACAGAATGTGTTAGAAAAAGAACCAACAATAATGTGGGCTCTTAGAAATAAAAGCTGCCACTGTTTAGCCTTAAAAAAGCCCACATGGACAAACACTTTAGTACTTTCATTCAAAACTGCCAACTGCACGCTGGTTAATACGCGAGGACAGTTCTTGCACTTTAAGGTGTATCCCCAGCACCCAGAACACCACACACTTGTTCAGGGAACAAGAAAAAAAACAAATGAGCATGCTTCGGAAGGTGCGCTGTCTCCCAGCCAAGCTGAGGGCTGGGACAAACCAAATCACTTGACTCCTGCAACGTCATCCTTTAGACCACATTTTACAGAAAGCCCAACTCTAACCAATGTTTCTGATGTGGAGGTCAATAAATAACCCCACATGCTAACAGTGTAAACCCATGCTGAAAATCTTTGCTGGATTCAGAGTCAACTGTAATCTACTGGAAGCTGAAATTATCAAAACAGAATTCATTTTACATGTGCCCATGCACTGTTTAATACAGGAGGAAATAAATAAAGACCTAACCAGTTGGCTCTACGGGGGCCATGCGACCAACGCTGAGTGAGCTCGCTGAGGGCGGGAAGGGGGAGACCAACCACGTTTGTGAGGAAGTAGGGGCTTTAAAGGAAAACATGGGCCCACAATGGAAGCAGCTTGAGAAGCTGGCGCGGCGCCCCGCCCCGCCCCGCCCCGCCGCGGCCTGCACACCTCACACCTGCCAGCGCAGGCACGGGCGAGGCGGCGGGAGGAGCGGCGGGGCTGGCCTGCCTCTGGGGGCTGCTGGGGGTTTGTTTCCAGTGAAGCCAGAGGCTCCCAGTGTGGCTTTAGACTGAGTCATCAAAACTGGGAGACTGGATAAAAAGAGGGAGAAAGGGCTAGACATATAAATGACTAAGAGGGTAAGAAAAAGAAATCTGAGTAAAAACAAATTTGGGGGTTTTGCCCCCCCAACATGGATGTTTATTTTGTCTTTTTCTAAAAATAAAACATAACTGCTTCAGGGTTTTGTCTTCTTTTAAAGAACAATGACTAAAATGCCCGAGATAATTTCTCTATCTACTGCTTCATCTTCTCTTTCAACAATCCCTGAGGACACAATGGGAAGACGTTTTTAGGAAGCCACCTGGGTAGAAAAACGGCCCCTGGGTCTGACACTGGGTCCCCTAAGGAAAGCAGTTCTTTGACAAGTCTCTCTAATGTCACCTTACACTTGCCCTCCTCGAGGGCCAGGCGTCCCCAAGGTCAGTGTTCCCCAAAGTCACACATCTCTCGTGATGTCAATAGTTTAGGTTGACAAACCAAAGTGCTTTAGAAATGTAAAGGGTGCTTTAAAAAAAGAGTCCCCACACACTGCAATTTCACAATTTGTGTGTGTGTGTGTGTCTGTGTGTGTGTGAGAGAGAGAGAGAGAGAGAGACTTAACAAGAGCCAGAACATCTCAAATCTGGGCTTGGCTCTGTCAGAAATGGTTGTGAGATGCAAGTGCCCTGGCCTCCCTGGGCCTCAGGGTCTCTGGCTGTTAAGTGAGGGGCCCCATCTACATTTGAGGGTTTTAGTCAGAGAAGGGCAAGTAGCACATGATCTCACTTATATGTGGAATCTGATGAACAAAATAAACTAACAAACAAAATAGAAATTGACTCATAGAGACAGAGAACAGACTGACAGCTGTCGGGGGCAGGGGGACTGGGGACTGGGGACTGGGTGAAAAAGGCATAGGGATTAAGCAAAAATAAATAAAAACCCCTCGCAGACGGACAACAGCAGGGTGGGCAAGGGGGTGGGGGAGGGGGGACAGGGCACATGGGGGATGAGCGGTGATGGCGACCTGACTTAGGTGCACACACACAGTACAGTATACAGATGATGTATTACATAGAATTGTATACCCAAAACCTGTATAATTTTATCAACCAATGTCACCCCAATACATTTTTAAAAAGTAGAAAATTTTAAAAAAATAAACAAAAATAAATTTGAGATGTTTAACTTTTTTTTAAGCCTTAAAATCCAGGCAGTCTAACCCGTGATGCCTGAAGTGAAGCTGTCATAGCTGAAGCAAGGCTAAGGGTCTAGAATCCGTCCGTGGGTGTGGCCCCTGCTCCCTCCCACCTACCACCCGGACCCCAGTGTGGCACTCCCAGAGCACAGTGTGGGTGCTTTCCTGAGGCCCCTACATTTTTGAAAACGCTGTCTCTCTGGAAATGGGCCCCTTGGCCTCCACACAAGGACAGCCTGGCGAAGCTGGGGCCATGGCGGCAGCCCTGGGGCGCGGAGGCAGGCCTGGTGGAGGGAAGGGCACCGATGTGGGGGCCCAGAACCCCGTGTGCTGGGCATGGTTGCTGCGCCAGCCAGCGGCGACCCTGCCCAAGTCTGCATGACAGCCCAGTGTGCCACCTGTCAAAGAGAGGGGCTCTGCTCCCTTCACCATAAGTAGGGCTCAATGGTCTAAGACATACGGCCCAGAGAGCGTCTTTCTTTATTTTTTAAATCCTCACCCAAGGACGTTTTCAAGAGAAGCATCCATTGGTTGCCTCCCATATGCGCCTGGACAGGGATCGAACCCGCAATCCAGGAATGTGCCCTCACCGGGGATTGAACCCACAATCCTTTGGTTACAGGATGATGCTCCAGCCACACTGAGCATCTTGAAGCACCTGCGGTTCCCAAACATGGTTATGCAATTTCATATTGACTGTTAAGCTTCTCTCCTTGGATGACTTTATGGCTACATGACGTTAGCTGAAATATGAACTCTTCTAAAATAAACACACTGTGCTTTATAAGAGCAATAGTTTGAGAAGAGAGTAGCCACTTACCATGGTACTGCAGAAGCCTAAAAAAATGCTAGACACTCTGCTAGGCACTGGGGATATCTACCGCCTGCCTGTCTGGTACAAAGAAAATTAAGTAACAGTCTTAAATGACCCCTTTAAAAATCAATTTGTACACAGATAATGCATTACTACCATTTCATTAAATTGTCATTGTAAGTGGATTAAAACATTAAAATACAGAAACAAATTTTTACAGTGGAACATCAGCTTGGGCACGATAAAAGCCCTAAAATGGTTGTTGGAAAAAATAAGATTTTCAACAAAAGCCAGAAGAAATAAAATACCCTCACACCAATAACAACAGAAGGCTTTTACCCCATTACGACGCTGAGCCTGGGCTGTCATGCCGGCTTCCCCGCAAGGAGGCGCTGCTGCCCGGTCCGGGCGGCGGGGCACTGCCTGTGGCACCTACCTCAGCACCACCACAATGGGGCTCTCGCTGCCGGTGAGGACGATCAAGCCCTTCCAGATCATGAGCGCAGAAGACACGATCATGGCGAAGTTTAAAACCTGGTAATAGAGCTGGGAGGAGAGAGGCCAAACCAGGGTAAAAACCATCAGCAGAGTACGTACTAACCCTAAGCTGTGTACGTGCTTATTTTAAAAAAAATGCAAAGCTGTGATGACTTTGCAACTCACACAAACTACACACAAACTACAAAAGTAGGGAGTATTCCCACTTTTGTCCATGGAATGAGCTTTCCACATGTGTCTCTCCTTGGAGGCGAGAAGGGTGAGGGGAAAACCAGAGCATCCCATGGGACCTGTTTTAGTAAAGCTTCGCTAGGGCTCTGCTTCCTGCTCGGGGACTTCCCAGCACCTTCGGCCCGGGAAGGGTCCCGCTGCTGAACTTCTGCGGCCGGGCTCCCCGCCTCGGTGTGTGGCGCGGGCTTCTGACCTGAGCACCTGGCACACGCAGCGGGAACACCTAAAACCACCCTTAGCCACAGGGCCAAAGAGGCCCCATGAGGCTTGGCAGTCCTACAGCCCTTGGCAATGAGGCGCTTCTCCATCTGAAAGTACCCTTTAGACGTCAACAAAACCTTTCAACACCTGCATGGTTAGATTTCCCACAAAGGGAAACTCACATGAGTCGGTATATAATTCCAAGCTAACGCTGCCCCACCTTGGACCCCTGGGTTAAGACCCGCAGGGCTTGTCTTCGTTCCTCCCTGTCCCTCACATGCTAAAGTGCAAGGCTCTTCCTTGCTGACAAGTGCCTGCCCCACCACCAGCCCCTGGGGACCAAGGGGAAATGCAACACCTGCCACGTCACAAAACCCTGTGCGGCTGTGGCTGAACTGTTGGCACAGGTGTCCACCGTCCTGCAAGAGGCTATGGGGCAAAAGCCGCTGTGCCTAGTATGACTGGAAATGCAAGCCCCTCAGCCCTGCCTCTGGAGGGCTCCTTACTCGGGCACCCGCCCCGTCTTCCTCTTCACAATCCCTGCGGTGGCCCAGGGGGATCTGAAGAGCCGTGGGGGCGGCCCGCCCAACACTGGTGTTTCAGTTCCTGGGCCTCCTGATGCCCAGCGACCTTCTCCATCCGCCTGAGCCGTCACCCTCGGCACCACACCTGGGGCCGTATCTGCCTGATCCCCGAGTCTCTAACACACACCGCCCCCTCACCTGACCGCCTACTCTGTCTTCGGGCACATGCGCTCACTGCACGGCAGGGCTCCTGTCCTTGCTGGACCTGCGCCCCTCACGGGCCTCTCCATCACCAACACGCGGTCCCCTGCATCCTAGTAGCCGTATCCTTCCCTAGGCCTGGCTGCCCTTTCTCCAGGACTTTCCCTCCAGGGAATTAATGTCCAGGTCCCTGCCCGGGAGAGGAAAGCCTCCGAGAGGACGGGGAGGACAGCCAAGGATCCGCTCCTCTGCTTTTTCACCCGGTCCAAGCGATTCCGGCCCCGCCTCCCTCCCTCCCCGGTCCAGACGTAGACCCTGCCGACCGGGCTACTCTGCAGCACAGCCGTGGGGTTGTTCCTCCGTCTTCCCTGCCGCTGCTTTAGGGTTTGCGCTTTTTCTGGCTGTCAATTACCACTCTTTCCTCTGTTTCTAGCTTCTACTTTTTGATTTATCTTGTTTCCTTTCCTGGTTTCCTATCTTGAAGCAAAAAAGAAGTAAAAGCTTAAAACTATTAGTTTCCCAGAGAAGAAATACAAGCAATAAATAAATATTTAAAGTGTTCAAATCAAACCCTCCTTCCGTCCCTCTGGCCCCCACACCATTTTGCCTAGCAAATTTAAAGGGGGTTGCTTGTTTGTTTGTTTGTTTGTTTGGACACTAACGTTTGGTTCTCGGCAGAGGTGCACTGTGGTGAGGCTGCAAGGTGGCCTTCAGAAAGCAATTTAGCATCTAGAGGTTGTGCTTGGCCCAGTAATTCTACTTCTCGGAATTCAGTCTAAGATAAAGGCAACCAAGGCCCGAGATATTTACCCCAGTCTTATTTCTAACAACAGTGAAAAGGTGATAAATGAGCAATAATAGAGAAATGATTGAGTAAATAACAGCAAGATACTGCTTTACTTAAAACAATGCATAAACACTTTTAATGACGATGACAAACACTTAAGATCTGTTCAGTGAGATGCCCCAAGATGCTAACAGAGGCTCTGTTAGTGCAGTGGAATTATCAAAGGTTCAGTTTTCTTCTTTGAACTACTCTCTATCCTTTTGTTTAAACATTTTATATATTTATTTTCAGGGAGAGGGGAAGGGAGGGAGAAAGAGAGGGAGAGAAACACAGATGGGTTGCGGGTCAGCACACACCCCGACAAGGGACTGGAGTCCACCAGGCGACGCCCATCCGGCTGAGCCACACTGGTCAGGGCTATTCTCTGTCCTTTAAAATTCCATGACGAGCGTGGGTGAATTCCAAAATCTGGGGGGAAGGTGTTTAAAGGAAGTGCACTCTGACAGGGTATTATATGGTATTAAAATACTCCTTTGGAAGAGTGTGGCACAACATGGAAATGTATTCTGATGTGATACTAAGGTAGAAAAAGCAGAGCTCAATTATTAGCAAGAAACCTGTCTCTTGCTAATATTACCCCTCTGTGAAATTATGTAATTCAAAGTAATCGGGAAGGGTATGACTGAAAGTGGGGACAGAAAAAGTAAATTAGAACAGCTGAGGATCTTTTGATATAATAAATGAAAACAGGAAAATAAATGTAGTTCAAAATTAAAGTAACACCCCCTTTTTAAAAACTCTTTGGCTATTGTGTCAATAACAAATAATGAAACTATCGTTAAATTCCCAGGAGAGCAAAAAGGGAACCTGTAGTGCTAAGCAGGTACTGCGAGGTACTGGGCAAACTGTTGCTTCTAAAGTAAAATCAGTCTGGCCACATCCGTCTAAAAGGAGCAGCTCTTCATTGCAATTCACTCAAAAACATTTCCACCTGCTCTGCTCAACTGGAAGGATCTGATAAACTTTTTTTCATTATGAATTATAAATCTGATTAGGAAAGCCCCAAGCCAGGGTTTTCAACAGAAATTGTCATTTTTAGAGAGGTGTTCAAACCATCAGGCTCCACGCTAAAAAAAAGCACATTATAAAACCTTCCCATCTACCTAATAAAGACTGGGGGCTACGAATATATTTTCCAGTATGATTTCCTATGCTTGAAATATTCATCGAGGGGAAGTAAAATCATTTCATCAAAAAAAAAGTCCTTTGAGCAAGACATCTATTTGCTAAGGAAATGGGCAATCATCCAAAAACCTAACAATCAAGCTAATGGCATAAGCACAGATCACATTTCCAGCACCGTGTCTTTAAGGGACCAACTAACCTGAGTCTAGAATTGAAATACAGGAATCTAGAAACATGTTTTTTTTTATTATTGATACTATGACAGATGTCCCCCATTCGCCGCGGCCCCCCCCCCCCGCCCCCTTGAGCTACTGACAAGCTGACTTGGAAACAACAAAGTGCCTTTGTTGTTGTTCATCTTTGCCTACCAACTTTGTATGCTTGGCACTTAATAACCCGGCAGAGTTTAGAAGCAAGCCCACACTCAGGCTTTGTCAACCAATGATGAAATAGCCAACGTCTGAGGGTTTTAAATAAACATTTGAGACCATATATTCTGGTTGAGAGAGCAGCAAAAATGCCGGTAGCTGTATTTTTTCCTCCCTTCCTTGCTGCAGAAAGAAAGCGTCCTTGTTTTTGCATGTGGCTCTTCCCTTAATTAAGAGTAAACAGGGGCAGCAGAGAAAGGAGGTCCCACTTCCAGGGTCAGTGGGGCCTGCATTGCTGACAAGGTGTCACAGCATGCTATTTTGGAGGGGAAAAGAAACAAGCTAAAAGACAAAGCTTAAAAAACAAACAAAAAAAAGTACCAAGAAGAGCAGGTTTGAGCTTCTGAATATTAATTAGGAATTAGCAAAACACAGGCAATGCAACAGCTACTCATAGGCCTTATCACTGAGAGTGGGGATATACAGCATTTTCGAAATGGCTTAGGGACTGATACGTTCAAGGCCTTCTCTGATAGTCTGCAATTATAAGCATCAGTTAATCGTACCAGTTTTAGAGACATTTAAAAAACCTAGCCAATTAAGTCTAGATTTTTAAATAAAGCTCAGTTTCCTGGGGGATATCGTGGGGCAACAGTAGCAATGCTCAGGACCTTCATTAGCTGTTGGTGTTTCAAGCTAGTGATAATCACAGCCACGATCCGTCTTAATCACAGACTCTCCCAGGAGCTCGTCAGCCACGCACACCTAGAAACAACCAGACTCTAAACAGAGTTCACGAAATGCAAGTCAACAAACTCTCCCACATCGCTGCACTAGTCTGAAATTCTACTTGGAAAAAAAGAACATGCCCAAAGGATGAAGTTGCGCCCTGCCACGGCACCAGGCCGCTCCTCCACACAGGAGGGCAAGTAAACAGGATGCCATCAACATCATGAGAATCAATGCCGTTCTCAAAGACAATCACAGCTCCCCAGTAGGAAGGCTCCATTGTTTCTTAGCACACTTTGTTATTAGTATCAATAGAAGTATTACGGTCCTTTAATAGCCATCACGGTATTTGTGCCCTACAGGTCCCCTAAATTCTCTATGCAGAAGCTTAAGCAATCTCCTTTTTTTCTAGAGGAAAAGAGCTTCCTTTCCAGTACCTACTCTTCTTTCTTTATATGGAAGAGAAAAACCCAAAGACAGCGACACAGGCCAAGAGCTCACTAAGGAGAGGGCAAAAAGGAAGTTTCCTCTGAGGTCACAAAAGGGTGAGAAATTCACCCCAGCTGCCCAAAGACCCCACGCCAATTGCATCCTATATTCGAGGTGCAGTCAGAAGACAGAATCTGAACAAGAAGTTGGAGATACTGGAAAGTAACATAATATTGTAAATCGATTATACTTCAATAAAAAATTAAAAAAAAAAAAGAAGTTAGAGACTTCTGGAATGCCTTCTGGAACACTGATTCAATCCACCACCATTGATGCTCTCTCGGTACAGGAGCTTTATTTAGTCCAGATGCATGGTCAGGAAAACACTTTCCAGAATGGGAAGAAACTACTCTGGGAGGCACTACCATACGGTTCCTATTGTCTGAAAGTTCCTTTCTTCTGCCGAGGTAGGCGGCATTCTTCTGGGCATCAGGCCTCAGTAGCCTCACAGAGAAATCAATTCCCCTTCCACAGGGTGGCCCTTTAAATACGTGCAGACAGCTGTCACTCATGGCCCAGTCTACTCTACTCGCTTTCTCGACCACATTTGACATCCACAGGACTGGGTTTCCATGCTCTTCCCCTTCCTGGCCACCCTACCCTAACTGGGCTCTTGTCAGTGCAAGAAAGCACACACACGTGCCCACACGTGGGTTGATGCAGATTTGAACCCAGGGTCTATGAGAGCCTGGCGCGAGAGTCGCGGAGCGCTGTCCTTGCCAGAACGCTACCCGGGATGCCCTGACTCCCCGCAACTGCAGCCGGCCCCGGCCCCGGTCCCTGGGCGCGCCCCGCCACGCCGGCCTCCATTACCTGGCGTTTGTTCATCTTTCTCAAGTCTCCGAAGATGTCCAAGCCAGACGTGGGGAGCTGCGTCCCCACAGCGCTCGCGCGCACCATGCCGGAGTCTCGGGGCCAAAGGGGGCCCGCGGGCTCCTAGACTCACTGACAGCTGCGGAGCTCCAGCCGGGCCCCCGCCCACCAGCCCCGTGGGCTTGCTGGCCACGTGACCAGCGATTCGCTCAGGCGTTTGGGAACCGTAGTCTCCGGGTCTTGGCCACCAGTGTACCTGGAAGGAACCGTGTGGAAGAAAACTACCACTCCCAGAATTCCGCGGGGCAAGAGCCTCGTCCAGTGAAGACGTCGGCTCCTAGAGAAGACTGCGACGGGGCTCAAGAGGCTTGTCCCACCCTTCCGAGGGAACCTGGGGGAGGGGGTGGTCTTGCATTTCGCAGAGGTAATTCGGTGAAATGACTACTCAAGAGGAACAGAATTCCCCAAGACTCTGGTCAGGCGCCAAGAGGACACCTAAAGCTCCCTAGCATTTACCTAGCCGTGTATCTTGGCCATTGGATGACTCCACGAGGAAGGTGGGGCTTCTACACTGGCCGGCGGGCTGTGCTGAATCAGGGAGGAACCTAAAGATGGGCGGGCGGATGGGCGGGGCTTGGAAGAGGCGGGACTTTTGAAGCCTCAGGGTTCCGTGCTCTACAGAGGTAGTAGGATTTGAATGTAAGGGAACAGGAGGATACGAAGATGTATCCTCTTGACCGTAGCTGTTTTGCAACGGGTAGTAATTAAGTGAAAAAATAACCGATTAATTTAATACACGAAGGAAAAAGAGGCCCAGAAAGGGTAAATGCATGACCAAGATTGGGTAGCAGAGTCTGGAATAAAATGCAAATTTTAAAATGTGTAAATCCTGGGTGAACTACAGCCGTAATCCTAGATTATCTTTAGTTCATTCACTCACTCATTTATGCATTATTTATTTCATTCATTTATGCACAAATCTTTTTGGAGCATCTGTTATGCACCTGGCCCTGAGAAACATCAGAGGATAAAACAAGCAAAGATCGTTGCCCTCATAAAGCTTACATTCCAGCAGGAGGACACATAAGGCAATTATACAGTACGTGGAGGAAATAAGAAAAGGCAGGTAAGAGGGATAAGGAGCTCTCAGGGAAGGGAGTAGGTTGCAATTTAAAATATCCCCAAAGCTGACCTACCAAGAAGCTAATGAAAGGTGAACTTTGAGATGCTTCCTTTGCAAAGGCCTTTTCCAAAGCCTTGAAGAAAAATGGTCACATGGTTTTGTAAAACTTTCAAAGCAAGATATTTGAATTACTATTGATTGAGTTCTGTTTCTTTGCATTCCAGCCTCCATCATACTTCCCTTCATGCTGGAGGACAAAGAGCATTTGGGAATCTAACTAAGAGAGTTTGAGTTAGATACATTAGTATGGGTTAACTGTATGTATTTATGTGGTTCATGGTTGTTTCCTGACATCCTGGTGTAGAAATGGCTTCTGAGAATACTGCCACCCACTGTGTCAACTCACCTGACACCTGGCAAGAAGTTGCATTAGAGGTGGTTTCCTGATATGGGGGTGTCCTACAGCACCTGACCTTGGAAGCATGTGGGTAATAAGGAGAAACAAGGTTTTATAGGTTTGGAGCCAGAAGCTAATCTGTGTAAAATTCTTTCAAACATCAGCTGTACAAAATCAAAAGTGGAAGATGCAGTTCTTGTTAGTCCATAAGAACAATACAGTGATTGTTAAAACTAACACTAATAGTTACTTGAATTATTACAGGTGGTAGTGAAGGTGTTTAGATGTGTTCAGATTCTGAATCTATTTTGAAGACAGAGTCCTCAGAGTTTTTGAAAGATGGATATAGGGTATGAGAGAAGGAAGGCAGTTAAGGCTGACTCCAGGGTTTTTTTTTTTCCCCTGAGCAGCTGAAGGATAGAGTTGTCCTCAGCTGAGAGGAGGAAAGCTATGGGTAGAGCAGGTTTGTGGGAGAAAGTACGAGTTCAAATCATTGTGACTGAAATCTAGCCCCATATCCTCAGGCCACATCTTTTGGACTGTCTCCATGCTCCTGCTTAGGCTGAACACTACGTAAGGAGTGATGCAGAAAGAGATTGGGTGGAAATCCCCACATGTGGTCCTACCTAGGATGAGTTGATTAACTTCCATGAACTCTTTTCTCATCTATAAACTAAAAACTATTTTGGTAACAGCCGTTTTGGAAGACAGTTTGGCAGTTTGTTACAAATCTAAGCATATTCTTGCCATAAGATCCAGCAGTCATGTTAAAGAACCCTACCCATGCTGTTCTGGAACAGCTGGGGGGTCCGATCGTCTGCCACCAAGAAGCATGACTCCCAATGCAAGAGTTTGGTGAAAAAGGAAAGGGTTGTTTATTTAAAGGTTATATAGATTCAGAATAATGGCAGATTTCTGCCATTAAGCCCCACTTCCCTTTAAAACACCCAAAAAAACATATTCTTCCTCCCTTTGCCAAACCAGGCCAGTTTCAGAACAGGCCAGTCAAGGTACCATCTTTCAGAAAAGCATAAGTCCTTGGCTCAGCATTCCTGGGTCACTGTTCCAATTCCAGCATCTTCCACTAATTTATGTTTGGTTGGGCAGGTCGTCGCAGTTCCCAGCACCATTGGCCGTGCGGCTGTGTTCTTCAGGCAAGTTTCCGAGCGGGTCTCCTCTCTCTTACTCCAGCTTTTAATCCAAAACTTCATGGCACCTCCTTACATGCCAGACCTCATGGCAGACAAGGAGAGGCCCTTCCACATCCTTTCAAACTGCATGGCTGCTACCCTCATGGCTGGCTCCCTTCATGACTGCCCGCCCTTTTTTTTAATGCTGACCCAGGGCTTCCTATGTGACCTCATACTTGGCACTACATATTCTGAAAGTCACATAGACCTCTTTACCCAGGTGGCAGCACGGCCATAGTTACACAAAGTACCTTAAATGCTGCATCACTCACTCTCCCTTTCCTTAACCAAGGGCTGCAGGAAATATGCTCTATTTTGGGGTCCCCTTGCTTTGTACCCCATTCCATCACGCTCCTTGGTGTTTACACAGAGGAGTTGAAAACTTATGCCCACAAGCCTGCACATAAAGCTGGGAAGCAACCTAGATGTCCTTCAGTAGGTGAATGGGTAAACAAAACTATGGCAAACAAGATAACAGGATTATTCAGTGCTAAAAAGAAATGCATTATCAAGACATGAAAAAATATGAAGGAAACTTAAAAGCATATTACTAATGGAGGGGAGAAAGCCAATTTGAAAGGCTAGCTACTGTATTATTCCAACTCTATGAGATTCTGGAAAAGACAAAACAATGGAGACAGTAAAAATTCCAGTGGTTGCTAAGCATTAGTGGGAAGGGATGAATAGGCAGGACACGGAGGACTTTTAGGCCAGTGAAACCACTCTGGGTGATGCTACAATGGTGGAAACAGATCATTGTATGTTTGTCAAAACCTGTACAGTAAACCAAGAGTAAACCCTCATGTATCAATACACTGAGGGTTACAATAATGTGTTAATACAGGTTCATCAGTTGTAACAACTGTACCGCTCTGGTGGGGGACATTAATAAGAAGAAGGCTGTGCCTGTATGGGGGCAGGGAGTACATGGGAAACCTCTACTTTCCACTCAGTTTGCTGTAAACCTAAAACTGCTCTAAAAAAATAAAGATTATTTTCAATTAAAATAAACTGTGTTGGTAGCATCTGACCTCTTTGTTACAACAATCGCAGATAGACAGTGCCCACCAGTCAAAGTAGGGGCTATTAGTGGCCTGGTTGTAGATGTAGTCTTGGCTCACACCTGACTCTCCCTGCAGTTATTTCCTCCGTTCCTGGACACAGATTTGGAATAGATATCCTTGTCACTCTCAGAATCCCCACATTCTCTCCCTCGTCCGCTATGGTAGGAAGAGCTAACTGGGAGCCCATACAGCACCCCCTTCCTACCAAGCTAGTAAAGCAGAAGCGAGAGTGCATCTCTGGGGGAATTACAGAAATGACTCTTCAGTGCTACACAATTATCTAAAGCTGGAGGCAGCAAAAAACCTAAATTGTTGGACTAGGCTTTAAGGAATAATATTTAAAATAATAGTCAGAAATTGAAATCTTGTCAACTCAAAGTAATGTGTCCCACGTGTTTAATGAAATAGTCTGTGTATTTCAGTCGTGAGTGATTGCAGAGCCTGAATCACCCAGCTATTGGCCACTTTCTCTATTTAGAACCATAACATCTAATGCTTCCAAGGGATCCAGAATTCATTTGGGTCAGATTTCTACCCACGGCTGCCACCTCCTCTAATCGATTGGACAACCATAAAGCCTCTGTTGACCACTGAGGACAGCTCCTAAATTCTCTAGCAAAAATAGAGCAGGGGACAACCAGTTATCAAAAATTATGCTCCAGCCTGTTTAAATTGTACTTCCTCAACACTAGTCCCTTTCAAACCACAAAAGGAGCTCATTTTATGAAGGAAAAATCACCAGAGAATGCCACCACTCACCCTTCCCACCTCACAGCCCTAGCCACGGGCAGGGTCCACCCTCGACATCCACACACACATTCCCTCCACACAATGTGGCTGTGACAGATGGGATCTTGGGGGTCCCTTGTGAACCAATTCTTGAAGCTCCTGGGCCCCCAGTTTTGTCTGTTTGGCTTGTTCTTACAAAGGGAGCCATGAAAGTCAAGACTTAAAGGACCACCAAGCCTCCAAGAGTCTCCAGCCCCACCCATGACAGGGACTCAAGCTTTCCGGTTCTGTTCTCAGCTCCCATTTCTCCATCGCAAGTAGTGCTGTGATATCAAATGCAGAGTCTTTGCTCCCATGGGCCTGTTTCCTCCAAAGACCTAGGAATAGAAACAGGGTTTAAGTAATATTTTCACTACTGCCAATATCCAGGAAAATCCAGTTTAGCTAGTATCAGAAATCAAGCATCATCTGCCTAGGTCTTGATCATTACACAGTTGTCTTTGATTTACTGTGTATCTTAAGACAAAACATAATATTGCTTTATTTCTCTTCCTTCTATAGAGAAATAAGCACATTAATTTTCCATATGAAATCCCTTACATACAGGTTGACACCATACACCTTCTTTTTATAATTCCCAGATACCCTTGCTCCCCTCCAGTGAGATAATCAGAAGTAGAACTTTAAGAAATC